TTTTTTAAAAAGTGCCGTTAGAAACTCAGAGAATGTATGTATTTGGTTAACTTTAATCCATTACAGTTATTCTTATTGATGTCAAATTGTATTGTGTTTGTCCATAAGGAGCCTCATCTTACTGGCTCAGGTCCTTTGACTTGACCTTAGGAGCTCTCCGTTTTCTGTTACAAGATGTCCGAGCTTCATTTTTCAGTTTTAGCTCTAAACCTGGACATTCATATATCTTCAGGGAGCCCTGGTTCCACTTTAGAAACTGTCAATCAAGTACCACAGTTTGTCTTCTAGGATTACACATAGTCATGGCCTGCTTTTTGTTCTTAGGTTTCACAACATAGAACCAAGTAAGTAATAAGTTTTGTTTGTTTATTTGACAGTCAGACTCAGGACTGTATAATTTTCATTTATATTTTAAATCTACCCTTTTTCCCTGGGCTGAAAAACTCAGTTCTCAACTCTCACCACCCCAAAATAACATTCATTCATTTATTTTAACCAGCATCAGAGTAGTAGTATCAACAAGATCAAAAATGTGATGGAGGAGAATCAAGATGGCAGAGGAGTGAGTGGAAGTCACAGTGACCTCCTCCCAGGACCAGTCTGGAATTAAAACTAAATTGTGGAGAAATCACCTGGAATAAACAACTGAACAATAGGGAGAGAGGAGCCTTGTCACTTCAGAGACAGACGTATCAGCGTTAGCACAACCTAACTGGGAAGGAGTGTGGTAGCAACTTGAGAAGGCAGGCGGGGCGCCCATGGGCGGCAGCACCAAAAGGATATTGAAACGGCCCGTTGGATCCCTCTGAGATGAACAGGCTCTAAATCAAAAGCAAGGATCTCCAACCTACAGCACCAGAACCCAAAATGTACACAGATAACAGCTGTGAAAAACATCAGGGTTGCTCCCTGCCAGAGACAGGCGGCTGGAGACGCAGAGAGCCGTTTAAAGGGCCATCGCATAAATTTTTATTTGCAGCCATTTACCCTGATCTCCAGGAAAGGCGGGGGCAGAGTGGGCTAGAGACGCTGGAGGGGAGACTGGGGAAGGAGGCTTTGGGGAGAGAACTGAGAGAGTAGATGGTGGGATTCTGGTGCTGACTCCTCCCCCATAGGCAGCAGCCATCTTGCTCAGTCAGATCACTCCCCTGAATGGCAGCATTGTGAGAGGACCCAATAACCCAACCCCCAGGAAGGACTTTGCCTTGCCCTGTGGTGTCTAAGGTGGCCTGCTTAGTGCAGAGTGAATAGATTAACAGCTGAAGGAGACAGCCACAGACAGTAGATCCCTGGAAGTCTCAAACAGACTGTCTAAGGTCAGACAGGGTCAACATCTGACATCATCAGAGACAGATCCAGAAAGAAAAAACAGCGGTCTCCTACCATAGAAGTTCACACTACAAAGTCAGGAAATCAAGACAGATCAATTTAAGAAGCAGAAGCAAAAAAGAAGAGTCTCATAAATAATGGTAAGACAAAGAAACACCCCCCAGTTGAATGGAAAGTAGGAATCCTCAGAAAGAGAACTAAATGAAATAGAGGCAAGGAAACTATCAGATAGAGAGTTCCAAACAACAGTTCTAAGGAAGCTCAGTGAGCTGTGTGAGCTCAGAAGGAATTACCAAAAACTACAGGGAAACTACGAGGAACTTACTGCAAACTATATCAGCATGAAAAAGGACATAGAAACTATCAATAAGAAACAAGAGGAAATGAAGAATACAATTTCTGAATTGAAGAACACAATAGAAGGTGTCGAAAGCAAGCTAGATGAAGCCGAGGATCGAATCAGCGAGTTGGAGGATAAGATGAAAAAAAGCTTCCAGAAAGAGCAAGAAAATGAAAATAGACTCAAAAAGAATGAAGAGGTGTTGAGGGAAATGCAGGACAACCTGAAACTTAATAATATCCATATAATAGGGATACCAGATTAAGAAGAGGAGCAAGGGATAGAGAACCTGTTTGAAAAAGTAATGATGGAAAACTTCCCTAATTTGAGGGGAGAAAAAGGCACACAAGTCCAGGAAGCACAGAAGTTTCCCATTCAAGAGGAACCCAGTGAGGCCCATTCCAAGACATCATAATTAAAATGACAAATACCAAAGACAAACAGAATCCTAAAGGAAAGGGGGGAGACTCAGGTAGTAACATACAACAGAGCACCAATACAGCTAGCCAGAAGGGAATGGCAAGATATATTCCAAGTAATGAAAAGCAAAGGCCTGCAACCAAGACTGCTTTACTCAGCAAGACTCTCAATTAAAATGGAAGGCAAAATAAGAAGTTTCCCAGACAAAAGAAGGCTAGAGGAATACGCCTCCACCAAACCAGCATTGCAAGATATGCTAAAGGGACTGCTTTAAGAAGATGAAGAAAAAGAGTCTATGAATACCCAGTTCCTCTCACAGTCACCAATACTTGATATGACCAATATTTTTAATACTTATTAATCTGATTGTGACAGTGATACTATTTTAATTGTTACTTTATTATTTGTTGAAACTAAACCTGTTTTTGTATATTGCTTGCCTATTTCTATTATTTTAAAAGAGCTTTAAATGACTTTTTGGTATTCTTTATCCAGTTTTGATTAAATGTTTGTAGGATTTTTTTCCCTAAAAAAACAAACTATTAACCCTTTTTAAGATGTTGCAAATACTTTGCTATTCTGTTACTTGTCCTTTAACTTTTTTTATATGTATATTGCTGTATAATCTTAAATGTTTAATAGAGTCATATTGTCAGTATTTTACTTTATAGCTTCTGGGTTTGAATGTTTTACTTCAGGGTAAGAAAAATATTAGTTTGTATTTTCTCCTAATGCTCCTGAGATTTTCCAGATTGATTTTTAATTTACCTGAATATTTTTTGTAGAATGTGTGAAATAGGGCTCTATATTTGTTTTATTTCAAGTAATAGTGGTCCATGCACCTTATCTGTTGAACAAGCCTTATTTTCTCCATTGATTTGAAATATCAATTTAACCATATATTACATTGTTAGACAGATATATACAATTGATTCTAGAATGCTCATTTTATTTCATGATCTACTTGATTATTTCTGCTTGTGTCATGTTTTAATTGCTGAGACCTTTATAATGGATTTAAATTTTAATATTTTATAATGGATTTTGACATTTAAATAAAATCAATCTTCATTTAAAAAAAAGAAAGAAGGAACTCCTACCTTTTCTGACTACATGAATGGAACTGGAGAATATTATGCTAAGTGAAATAAGCATAATATGCTTTCACTGTTGGTGAAAGACAAATACCATATGATCTCACCTATAAGTGGAAAAGTGAATTTTATTCAACAAAATAAGCTAACGAACAAAATAAACCACAGGCATGGAATCATGGAGCAGACTGAAAGTAGCCCAAGGGGATGGGAAGGAGGATAATGGTGGAAAGAAGGGGAAAGGAATAAACAAAGAACATGTATGAATGACATGGACATGGGCAGCAAAGTAGGAGTTGACTGTGGGAGACAGGTAGGGTGGGATGGGTGGAGGAGGGCAAAGGGGGAACAATTGAGAAAACTAATAGAATAAACATGACTTAAAAATTAAAAAAAAAATGTGATTACTAAAAAATGTGTATTTCCTAAGTCTTATAACTGGCCTTTGTTTGGTACTGTTCCCATTCCTGCTGTCTGGGCCTCACCTCTCCTTCCTCTTTGCTTCCATGGTATTCCTTCTTTAGCTCTGCTACAGCACCCATTTAGGCACCCAGTAAGCCCATTAATTGAAAGTTCCCAAGGGCAAGGACTAGCACATTTTTCTTTTCTCTGTAGCACCTAGCAGAGTGTCAGACACATAGCAGACATTAAGATAATGTTGAGTACATGAATAAAAGATGAAGCAATTTGCTCAAGAAAAAAGGGTACTGACTTTGGTAGAAAGGCACACGAGTTTTAAAGTCTAGGTCTGCCACCTGGCGTTGTGGCCATCTGCCTCACAAAGTAAAGACACAAGTGATTCTCTCTCACCCCTTTAGCTGGAGCATAATTGGTTCATACCTCTGCTAAGATCAGGACACCCATACATCTCCTTAATCCTCATCCTTCACTCCATCAGGCAATGAGAGGGCTGATTCAGGAAGTATGGGTACATGGGAGTTCATGTTGGCTCTTGTTGAGTATATGGGGGGTGACTTTGGGCAAAGTTACTTAACCTCTTTGAGCTGAGTTTCCTCATCTGTAAAAGCGGCTAACAGCTCCCACATTCTAGGACTGTTGTGAGGAGTTGAAGCAGTTCCTGGCACATAGTTAAGCGCTATATAAATGTTGACTCTTAGTAGCAGTAAATACCATTTTGGTAAAGATTAAGATCTGTAAACATTGGGGGTATGTTTTGGGGATCTTCAGGGCCACCCCTATATTAGAAGATTCACTAGAAAGACTCACAAGACTCAGCATATAGTTGTCCTCATGGCTAAGATTCATTGCAATGATATGCTGCATGGCAGCTGGATCATAAGGGAAAAGGCAGCCTGGAAGGACCGACGGGCAGGCTTCCCTTGCCCTCTTCCTGTCATGAGGATCACAGAGAGCCCACTCTCCTCCCAGCAACAAGAACACAGCAACATGGTGTCATGTTCCTGCCCAGGGAAGCCCATTAGATACTGGGCACCTGAGACTTTTATTGGGGGTGGTCATATAGGTACCCATGGCTCAGTACATACCAAAATTGCAGAGCCCTGGGAGGAAAGCAAGTGCTCAGCCTAAATTGTATGTTTTGCACTAATAGACAAGGCACAGGGAGCCACCCTTAGCAGTCAGCTGTTGACTGGGGACTCTCCGGGAGCCAAGTTCCCAGACTCCAGCTGAGGGCCAACCTCGCAAGCAGGCCCAACCTCTCCAGTGTTCATTCTTCTGCTTAGGGTAAAACAAACGTCGCCGCCCCAGGTTCAGGTCATAGTTACCCTGTGAGCCTAGGTAACAGAGGCTGTGGTGGGTAATTCGGGTACCTTCATCTTTGCTGTTTTCTTTTCCAGAATGGCTTTGACTACTTGTTGACATACAGTGACAATCCCCAGACTGTGTTTCCTCGCTACTGTGTTAGTTGGATGGTTTCCAGCGGTGAGTGGGCATTTGTGTGCATGGCCTGGAACCTGGGTTGAGCATTTTGTTTTTCTCTAGTTTCTTATTGGCAGCAAGAAGATTAGTATTTGTGTCACTGGAGCCCTGTTGGGGAAATTAAATGTCCTTCTAAGCTAGTGCTTGAATACTCTGAAACTGTGGAAATCTCCACCAGGGTTTTGAGAGATGAGAAGTATGACGTCCCAGAAAAAGCTGCCTGGAAGGGAGTTTTAAGAAGAGTATTCACTTAATGCCTTAAATACAGACTATGGACTTTAATGCACTTCAAGTTTTTCTTCTTAGTGTTGGGGGACCATGAAATCTGTTAGAGAAAATGTTGTAGGACAGTCACCTGAGTCCTAACAAAGGTTACACACTATGGCTATGCCTACACCTTTCCCTTTCAATGCCTTGCCTTAAAAAGCACTCTGATGTGAGGCAGTTGCTTATACCTCAGGGGGAGAATGAAAAGGAGACTAGGTGTTTCTGTGTGACATTTATTGAAATAAAATTGGCAGATATATAGGCTGTGTTACTGATAGGTGATGATGTCATTGCCTGAACGAGAGCCACTTCGGATGTAAGTGGCTTTCAGCACCTCTTTGCAAAATATTTCAGAGGTCATGAATTGTTTTCACGCCTTACACAGTTTGAGAGGCAGCTGTCTCGGGCTGTGATTTCTAAAAGGTGGGATGGGCTCCATCACGAAGGAAACAGGGCTTTTGAATTTTGATCCCACAGCTGGTTTGATCCATTAGCCTACTCAGATTTCCCTCTTTCCCAACAGGCATGCCGGATTTCCTGGAGAAGCTGCACATGGCCACTCTGAAAGCTAAGAACATGGAGATCAAAGTAAAGGACTATATCTCATCTAAGCCTGTGGAAATGGGTAGTGAAGCCAAGGCCACCACCCCGTCTTCTGAACGGAAGAACGAGGGTAGTTGTGGCCCTGCCCGGATCGAATATGCTTGAACAAGGGCTTTGGGATAAGAAGGGACAGGCTGCTTCTAGCCCTGTCTCGGTCCCTATCACTCTGCCACGGAAGGAAGACATGTACTAAAAGATGTCTGCTGTAACCACCAGTGCAAGATAATTCAGTAACTGGTGTCCGATTTCATTCAGAGCCCTCTTTGCTCTTTATCAAAACAGAGAAGAAGGAGGCATCCATGGGGACATTGTCATATTCTCAGGCCAAGCATTTTACGATTCAGTATTTCAGTGAGCTAATCTGGAACACACTTCAGGCCAGAAGGGGATGACTTGTTTTTGCTCCCTCTGAGTAGTTTCCTCTGCCAGCATTCCAGTTTCCATCATCAGTTCTGCATTTGGACTTCCTTTATTCTAAAGGTCCAACTGGAGAGTGAAATTGGCTGGTTGATGGTTCAGTGAGGGGTCATCGGGAGTGCCCTTGATAACCATCCTAGTGTTGAATGAATGTGCACTATTGCTTGGCAGTGTAAGTGCCTTGTCCTCACCTTGCTATCTATAGGACATAAAGTTTGTACCAGGAAATTTCTTTTCTTGCCTCCCAAATACTACTCATCGACTACCCAAAGCCATTTCCTTTGGATTGGCCAACTCTTCTGTATTCATGCACTGTGTTAACCTGGCTTGGCTCCTCATTCCTTGGCTCATTTACCAAGAACACTGGGAAATGATTCCTTTTAGACAGTAGCTTTCTGTGTTATCATTGTTTTGATAGGGTCAATAGAGATGCTCAAAACATCACACTAATTTTTTTTTTAATCTTTATGTCAAAAAGTAGGAATTAGAGAACTGAATAGAACTTCTATACTGTCTAAAAAATACCATTTTGATTCAGGCATAATTTTTCTCACTTCACGTTTGACTGGATGCCAAGGACTTGTCTATTTCAGAAGGCTAATAAGCAAAGGAGTGTGGTTGGGCCACTCCCTGGAGCTCTCAGAGCTGTAAACAAGTTGGGTGAACGAAGAGATGAAATCTTGCCTCAAACACTAACGTAATGGGTCTGTGTGACCCTCTTGTTCCTCTGAAATTTTATGTCCTTCAGAGATAAGATAAAAGCAAGCTATGCTCTTTGGATGAAATCATAGTCATGTGGTACCAGTTTGGCCTTGCTGATAACTGCTTATGGTCATGCTGCCATCTGATGGGAGCATAGGGATCAAGTTTTAAATCCTCTTTCCCCTTTTTTTTAGAATGTAAATGACCAGATTTCCCCCGTTTTTTTCCTACTTGGATCTAAACCTGAGACTAACTTAAGCCCCTCAACATTTTTGTAAAGTTTTGTGCCAAGGAAATAACTACCTGGTGTTTCCTGTCTTGCCGCCTCTGAATCATCGGTGGAGCAGAGATGTAGCGAACAGCCTCAGCTCCCTACCCACCCCCCTTTTTTTATCCTTACCCCAGGATATTTTTCATTGCTTTTGGGGGGAGAGAGAAACATCAGTTGGTTGCCTCCCGCACATGCCTGGACCAGGGATCATGCACACCTGGACTGAGGATTGAACCCATAGCCTTTAAGTTAGGGATGACGCTCCAACCAGCTGAGCCACATCAGCCAGGATCTCCACCTTCTTTCATGGATCAGTTCTCTCTTCTCATCCCTAGGGCCTGATAAGCCAGAGAAGAGGCCCTGGGTTATGTCTGCATTTTGCACCTGTGGTGGTCAGGATGTGGGTGGGTGTGGGCAAGTGTGTGTGAGTGCAGAGGTGTTAAGGAGCTCTGTGTTGCTCATGTTCTGATTTGGGGGAATTTGGCTGCACTTGGAGTCAGTCGGTCTGTACAGTGACTTCTGTCATCATAATGATTTCACTCCTAACTGATATTTTTACCATATGTGTGAATAAAAAAGTTTGGCATAAAAGAGTGTTTGTTTTTTGGACACATCGTGGTAGGGAAATGTTGCATAAGGGGCTTATAATTTCTTCCTGATTATAAAATGTGAGAAGAATGTTGCTACTCATATAGAGTTGTCATGTGGAAGTAGGTGTCGTCGTTGCTGGTGCTGGCTGACACCGCTAACCACCTTGTCTAGACAATGAGCCCTTTCCAGGTGACCAAATGGCAGCTGAAAAGCCACCTATTTCCACTGTCTTGTGTTGATCTGACCCATGTCCTTTGCTTTTAAAGAAGCGTCAACTTGAAGGAAACAGTGATAGAATTTTGCTGATAAAACCTGAGCGAATGGGGAGAGGAGGAGTCTTGAGCAAGCCAGGTCTAGAGCTGTGGAGGGTCAGATCAGGACCCTGTTGGAGAGGGTGAGTAGTGAGCTCAAAACCCACTTGGCCTGTGGGAAGTAGTGTCACACAGGCCACTGTGCTAGAATTCAGATTTCTTCCAAGGCAATTGATGGAGACACTGGGAGCATGATGTGAAATTTGAATTTATGTGTGATTTTTGCCTGTGGGAAACACTAGGTCAACACAAATTAACAGCCTGACTCAACTCTCCAAATTTCTTCAAGATTACTGGAGAGACTAGTCCAGGGTTGTAGGCTTGCAGATGTGCATGTCTGTGTAACATGCAATTTTTGAGAGTTGCTTGGCCTCCCCCACTGAAGAGACCCCTGCACAGCATCCCCAATGTTCTCCAGGCTCCGTTGGGTGCTCAGGCTCAGCAGCTGAACTCTGAGAGCAACACTTCTGGGTGTCAGACAGCTCTGGTTCTCAGGAAGTTCTATATGTTAAGACTAGATATACCTCAGGCTCCTGAATCTACCATTGGGTCCAGTCCTGTCCTTGGAGTGCCAGGAAAAACTACCATGGGTAGCACCTCACATTGTTGGAGACAGTGCTCATGGAACCCTCAGCTTTGGCCAGGCTTCATTTCTCCAGCAGCTTTGTTAACAGGAGAGGCCTGGTTCTTTGTCCACACAGTAAAAACTTAAGAGATCAGCAAGCCCATTAGAATGCAAAGTTTATTAGTGCTAAGTTCTAATGGGAGAGCAAAAACAAGGGTCACCACAGGGCCCCCTTTGTGGCAAAAGGGCCAAGAGAGTTAAGTCCTTTGTCCTGAGGAGTTAAATGTTGATTGACCAGTAAAGGGGGTGCCAGCTTTCCCAGGGCAGACATGACTACCCAAACGTAGGTGTGCAGGGGCGTCTGTTAGCCCAAATCTTTATTTTGCTCAACACTCTATTTGTCCATTTTGCATACTTGATGGGAGGCAAGCAGTTAACCAAAGATGTTTTATGGGCTTTTCTTTGGGCACTGTAGACCCCTACCTTTCTCCCTTCCAGGCCTTGGGATGAATACATAATGTCAAGGTGTTCCTTTTTCCAGCCAGCGGAGATGATACACACAGACTTTCAAGGGCACCACAAGTAAACTAGCTATCATAGTTTACTTGTGTTGTTTAGAATGCCTTGCATTCTTACTCAGCCAGGCTCAGGACTACTGGGTCAGTGGGCGAGACATGTCTTCCTTTGCTTTTAGCCTCCTATATTAAGTTTGTTAGATTGCAGTGGTGAGGTCCCTGCCCTTATTTCCTCTAGTCGCTCATTCCTAGCTGCTGAGTGCTAAAAGGCGTCGCCTGGCAACCAGGGCACTAGCCATTGGCCCGCAACCGCAGCACAGTCTCAAGAGTTCTTCCTATGCTGTCTCCTGCCTCAGCTTCAAAACTCTCCAACTTTTTATTTGGGAAATTTTCATATATAATGAAAAGTTGAAACAGTAATAATGCAGGGTGGGGCAAAAGTAGGTTTGCAGTTTATGTGAAAAAAGACATGCAGGTTAGGATTATTACAATAGTTTTATTAACTTGAATACTCACCTTGTAAACCTAATTTTGCTCCACACTAAAAAAAACCTTGTAGATCCCTCCCCTACCTTTGCAGGTAGTTAGCTTGCCGTGCTGTGTGCTTTATCTTTGCTCTCTCTATATGCTTTGCTAGGGACTAAATGTGTCCCGTTAAAAATCATGTGTTGAACGCCCAACCCCCAAGTGATGGCATCTAGGAGGAGCCTCTGGGAGATGACTAGAATTAGATGAGGTCCGAGGGCGTGGCGCCCATGATGGGATTAGTGCCGGAGGCTTATTCTCTCTCCCCACCACAGGAGTTTGAGAAGGTGGCCATTGGCAAAGCCTCACCAGGAGGACAGCTCTTCCCAGGCGTGGAATTCACCGGCACATTCATCTTGCACTTAAACCTCTAGAAGTGTGACATATATGTGGTATATAGCATTTTGTTAATGTCAGCTCAAGTAGACTAGTACACTTTTTCATCACCATTTGAAAGTTAAGTTGCAAACATCACCATGTTTCACCCCTAAACACTAGAGTGCTCTTTTTTATAATCATTTTCTGTGTAACCACATTAACATTAGCACACAGATAATTTACCTAATGATTTAGTCCATTAAAAATTTCCCCAGTTGCACCCCCCAAAGGACTTTTCTAGTACTCTCTCTCCCAAATCCAGGCTCCAATTAAGCATCCTGTGTTGCATTTGTATCTTTATAGCAGCCAAGTGGCTAAAGCAATTGTAACCTGCTCTTCATGCGGAATGTAGCCTCAAAGGAGTCTGGATGGGGGAATCAAATGTTCGAAAAATTTTAGTTTCTGGTAATAGCTAATAAGCTTAACAATCAGTGTGTGTAAAAGCTACTGTTTCAGGAGCTGAAGGTATGACCCACTTTGACTCCAGGAGGCCGTAAGCAGTTCCACCTTCCTGCCTCAGGAGCACAGCAAGCAATCAAGGTGGTGTCTGAGCCATTGTGTTCCAGGGTGAGATGCCCACTGTCCGGGACACAGAGGAAAGGATGCTGCAGCTTTTATCTTGATTTCCCCCTGAATTCCAAACCCCTTACCTACAATTATCTTATAAAAAGCCTCAGTTTAAAATGGAATTTAAGACTGTTAGGGTACAAACCCCACCATCTTCTCACGTTGCCGGCCACCCATAAAGATTCAATCTGTCTCTGCTTATTGGGTCTAGTAGGTGACAGGCAGCATGAATGCCAGCTTTTCCAGTTTCACTCTCAGTACAGTTCAGGGCAGGGGTCCTCCAACTCAGCTGTGCCGGGGGCTGCGCGCCCAAGACCAATCACAGAGCTGCTGGGATCCGAAGGCAGGCCACAGTCTCCCTTCATCTGGTACCTGATGTAAGATAAGGTGTCATTAATTTGTCACACCGTTGCCTTATGTTTGGGCTTGAGATCAACTGGTAATTGCCCCTATTACTGACCATTTGCTGTCTCAGACACTGTGCTTCATGCTTTTAAACAGGACCTCATTCTACAACAGCCCAGTGAGCATGTAGTTATTATCCCTGTTTTATAGGGAAGAACCAGCATCAGAGGTTATATAATTCCCTTGTTCAGGGTCACAGGAGATGACGAAGCCAGGATACAGACCTGGCTCTGACCGCTGCAAAGACCTCTGGGAGTCCTCAGGTTAGTTTCTCATAAATGCTGCCATGCAAATTCCTTCCCAGAGATGTTCACTTAAGTTCAGAACCTGGGTAACAGGCTTTTAATTACAAAGTAACCTGTGTTTACCCATTGTAGGACAGGAGTCTGGAAATCCTTTTCAAAATGAAAATGCTCTTCATAAAATCTGAGAACTGATTTCTAATGAATAAACTTGAAAGTGTCTAAAAAATTAAACTAGCACTGGGATGGAAGTTAAAAGTCCAAAGCCAGCGCTGTTTGCTATTGCGGCACCATTTGCCGAGCAGGCCTATGACCATGTTAAATGTGACTCCCA